AATCTCATGGTTTAAGGGAAGACAAAATGTCACCCAGTTTCCAACCAAGTAGTCTGCATCTAACATGACTAAGACTAGAAGTAAGTGACTTCGAGGACTTACGATAAGTTTTGGTTTGCCAGCTCCCAACTTTCTTCCATCCATCTCCAAGACTAGTCAGCACTGTGCAACATGGTAATCGGTGGTTAGGTATGCATAATACGTAACCGAACCATTCCAGTCGATGTAGATTCGAAACCTCATCAACTGATTTACCACCATTTCCTTATACCCTGCGTCTAACCTCACTATTACTTACCCGGTGATGCCAGATTGTGCGAGAAATGTTTTCACGACATCTGTGATCAAGTACGAGTAACTTAGGGGCATCTTCTACTCTTAATGGCCAAGTTTCGCAGCCTTAAAGTAGAACAGAACGAACTGCTGCGCAATATACTCGTTCCTTAATTGATAGACGGATATCTTGCCTTCACCATAGGTGACGTAAGTTGGGAAAAGCCAAATGGGAGTTTTGAATCCGCGCAGACATTTTACCAGACACCAACACATTAGGGCTGATCAGACTTTCAAGATAAGTTGTTGACGCGTTCGACTACTCCACTATTCAAGGCATAAAACTTGTAGGCAACCACTATTATTGGTGTTTTATATTAAGTAAGCATACAATAAAACATGATATTTTTCATACTGAGGTGGTCTTAATTTAAAAATTGAATATTATAAACTGTAAAGTAAACCATGATATTATTTGGAATTGCTCAGAGATCGGAGAAAATTATTTAATTAAGAGGTAAGACGACCAATTAAAAAAGCAGATCAAGGTAATCATTATTTCCAAAGAGTACTGTTACTTCCTCATTGGAAGGTTGGACACATTCACAGGAAGAAAAATTCAAAGAAAGTTTCTACTGACTGTAACGACTAGGAAAGTAATACAACTTCGTTTATTAGTTGATGCATTGGTCATATTTTTATTGTCTGTTAATAACTGAAATCAGTGAAAAATATGAAGCAGAAATTTTTAAGTGACATTATCTAACGAAAACGTAGAGCTTCATCAACAAGAATTTTTAAATAAAAAGCGTCACATGTAAGTTAAACTAACAAAATATTCACATCGGTAATCTCAGCATCTCTGTAATAATACAATACTGGGATATTCGCCAGATCATTGGTTGAAGTGCCTTTTGAAAGATGTATTTGCAAAGTACTTGAAAGTTCACTAGTCATTTGAGAAATGGTATGAAAGGACAGCGTACTTAGTTGCTTTCGGAAATATATAGACCTTATGTGTAGTACGGAATAAGACAGCGTTTGATTGTAGTGACTGATTCGAGCAAAAACGTAGTGAGTGGAGTGCTCATCAGTTGGTGAGATCATCGTGGTTCGTGAAATAAACATTCTGTGGATTTTGTGTAAATCAGTAAAAATGAACAAAGTTTAATGGCTGTGTTCAAACTGAAGATCATTGACTATTTATAATTATTAGCCATTAAAATCAAATAAATCTTCCAAATATCTATCTTTTTAGATCCCTCTTTTAATGCAAACAAATGACTACTACAGCGCAGTTGATAGATTACAGATAACTTGATTATTTTAAGCAATGTACGTTGGATATTATCATAATATTTAGCAGAGGTTGTGAAATGTGATTTACTTGGAAAACACCGGACAGATTCATCTAGTGCATTACACTATGGTTGTAAATTTACTCACCTAAATGCTTTTAGACGTAACGTGTTCTTATTCTGGAATAATACAGCAATTACCATCTCATCATTTGAATAATTATTATAAATTAAGCGTCAATTAAATAGATTGTATGTTAAACGACACTTCATCAGATTATATTATACAATCGTATTTATAATTAAAACATTCCTCGTACTAAGGACTTTTATTAAAAAGACTATTAAACGAGTATCACTGTGTAGTAACCAATTTAGAGCTGTCGTAGAATTCCTGTCAATCCCAAATCCGGATAAAAGGAGAGGTTTGGTATGGGGTTAGCAACCCTATTCTTTAAAAATAACCTTGCTAAAAAACGATAACCAGAAAAGTCAACACTGTAGTGAAACTATTGAATGTTTTTCTAGTGCATAAAACTTTGTCAGTACATGGGTTAAATAAAATGGGTGATTTATATAACTTTATAATTTGATATATTTATTATTACTATTATTATTGACTAAGAAACTCAACACTGAGCAAATTACGTCATATGGATTTATATCTGCTTATTAGAATAAGGTGTAAGGAAAAAAACAAGCAATTCGTCAATAAAATTAGTTTCGTCCATAAGACATGTAACGCGTTGATCCAAATATTCCATAAATATGATCACGAAAAATGATTGTTTAGTCGGACTCACAAGGACGTTTATTATTAGAGATGTTTTGTGACTTCACTCGGGTCGGATGAGAATGCCACATGGTTGAATTCAGCAATAATTACTAATGAATAAAACAGTTAAACTATTAAATCTTAGTTTTGAAAAACACAGCGAGTATTTTAGAAATACCTAAATTCCCTGGTATGACCGAGAGTGGAGAGAGTCCGCTCTCCCTTACGAAATTCTCTCATACGGCTACGAGTATACAGCCACTGCCTTGTTTACGAAATTGAGAGTATGAAAAGTGAATGCCCAGTGCTCTAACCAACATGGCGGATACGGAAAATTCACCATGGGGATTTAAGAACCCTGGGTCTAAGCTAATGGTGCACATGGGTTCCGGGATCCTGACAAAACAATCGGTGTATGAACCTGTTGTTGGTCACCTGCTACGTTCATACGGCATCTCCTAGCGTTGATTCACTGCCTTGTGGATTACACTTCTATGTAAAAGGTTCGGAGACCGGCTCCCTAAGGAAACCACCTTTTTCAGTTTGAGCACCCGGACAGTGTCCCAGCCCATAAATAAACCAAATGATGACTACAATTGGAGAAACTATTCACGTCTCAATTCTCATCCTCACAAATCACACTCAAAACTACTTATTAATACTCGTTTTTATTTTACTTTGCATCACTTGTCTACTCGTTTATTTCAATTTTGCACATTCTCCTATTCTTCAACTGCTTTAGCAGCTAGCCCGTGATGGAAAACCTGTTCTGCTTAAACGATCTAGAGTCACCGACTGGTCAAAAGTTAAATACTACCACCGAATAAAAATTTTGAACCAACCATTTGTTAAATCACGTATGCCATTCAAATTGACCTTCTTCAACGTTCACACAGTAATACAGATCGGGCAACAGATAGGATTGGCCATGTCTCTCGAGAGTCTTAAAATCAATGTCTATATGAGATCCACATTCAAGACTTTAGTGAAGTGCTACAAATTTTCTCTCTATCTCTCACTTCGAAAAGCTTGTTTCGCAGGTATTTTTTCCCGAGGATTCTGAGAAATCTTCATTTGGCATTGATGTCGCACTAGGGCTGAGGTGGAACTCATCGATTGGATCCCTATCAAGTCGGCTTTGTGCTGTTAGATTAGGAAGTTCCATCAAAGTGAGAACAAATTGGTGTGGGAAACGATATCTTTTCGTCATCTCTGCCTATGCTTCGACAAACTGCAGTGTGAATGAGATCAAGAATGAGTTTAATCATCAGTTAAGTATTTTACAGAAAGCGCGTTCGACAGACATTTTAGTACTAGCCGGAGACCTGAATGTACAGGTCAGGTGACTAGACACAGAGAAGAGTGGTTTGAATGGCCAATGGGGACTTGCTGGTTACAGGCCAGAAACTGAAACTTTGCACAGATTGAAGCCTGTTTCTGACAAGCGCTAACTATCGACACAGTAGTCGACGATGTGCTACTTCGCGTCCTTCATCTGCACCTAAAACTTGAACTCAGATTGTTCACATAGCTATCAGCTACCGCTGGTATGGTTATCTGCAAAACTGCCAATCCTTTGTAGTACGAATCTAGACTCTAACTATGACCTTGTTTGTGCTAATCTTACCTTGCGTTTCAGTGGCTAACAAGTTTATCGCTTTAAACGGGATGGTATCAGCAAAGTGGTTGCAGCTTCTATTGAGAATAAATATCGAACAGAGATAGGTTCAAGGCTAGCTACCGACCTATCAAAAAGTATAGATGAGCATTGGGTGCAATCACATGACGCCGAAGGATTGGCGAATAAAGTTGCTTGGGTCTTTGCCAAACGTCCCGCTGATAAGCACTAGGTTTCTACAGGCTAGATCTAGCTTAGAGAACAAAACCATCCATCTGAGCTACAAATTTACACTTGAGGATATTTCATCCATTACGCTTTGTTTAAACGAGTCACTACAATAAATCACTCTGTTGCTTTGTAGTGCACAACAAGATATACACATTACCAAAAATAATTGGGTTTGCTGTCTTATAATGGCATTCGTACACTGAAGTGAACTTCCAAGCAATTTGTAGATATTTCCTCAAAAATAATTCAGCGATTAATCTAACGACTGTCCTAATATTGTATTACTGCAGAGATGCTGAGTTTATCGATGGAAATATTTTAGGAATGTGATTTATATATCACGCCTGATATTTAAAATTCTTGTTAATAACTAAGTTGATGAGGTTATTTCTGTTAAACAATTCTGCTTCGTATTTTTCACTAATTTAAATGTTTAACAGGTAACAAACATTATCTTCGTGCATCAATAGAACAGAGATTTATTACTTTTCTAATAACTACAGTCACATAGAACATACTGTAATGATTAACTTAACAAAAATATGTTTAACTGGTTTCTACAAATACATTATTGAATTGGTTAGCATGCATCGTTGATCACTTGGATGAACAATACAGTAAGGCTGATGCATCATACGGTAAATACATTCTTTTTATTATTTGGCATTCCATTCAAACTCTTCGACATTTCTGAACTTTCATAAACAATCACATTTATACACAAACATATCTGAACGCTTCATAGGAAAAACATTTTCTGGTATAATAAAATCTAGATTGTAATTTAATCTTGAGCTGTACAATCCATTAAGAAAAATATTTATTTCAGCTTCTCGAAATCACTTACATCAATATTACATTAGATTTAATCGAAACATTTGAAATGCCAATAGAGTTAGATTATTTGCTTCAAATGCTCTCTAGTTACACATAAACCACATTAAGAGAATGTAAAATTTGTACAATGACAAATGTAAAAAACAGCTTGTAACAAACTTCCAGTCATGTTCATTATTGTATACGTTTAATGAGAACAAAAATCTTTTATCGATCAATACATGATTAAGTAGGGAGAGTAGATGTTCATTTGCTAAGCATGAGATTTCTAATATTAATCAGTAGTTCAATTTATGTGGATTTTGTACAAATTACATCTTAACTGAGACTACTGAACACTTCAATCGAGTTAAAAAAAACGGGCATTTATTCTTAAAACAAGCACTCAAACTTTTCTGAATTGTCCTATCAAAGCTAAAGATACATTCTCAAATGCTTAACATCTTGGGCTGAAGATAATTTATGCTACCTACTGCAGAATTTTCGACTTCCTTAAGTAAATAAGTTATGTCATACGTTTTCACAGGGATTTAACATTCTATAATGAATGGGATGTTAATTACATAGAATTGAAGAATTCCGTATAAAAAGCAATAAATTTCACTTAATTTGTAAACATACTGCCATTTTAAAATAAAAGATCGCAGTGGAAAGACTTTACTAATTTTATAATAACCTTTCCTTTCAGGTTAATTGGATGCTATCAGACGCTGTATATTTCAAACAAAACATTTTCCACAAGATTTAGATACTTCGCACATCAACTTGTCTTTTAATGTGAGCCTGTGTCAGTTCAAAGTTCCGTTGTATGAGCGGTCTCAATTAGCTGCTAACCTGTCAAATTTCTGAATATGTCTAATACAGGACTTGACAGTTTTTTTAGAACGACTGTACTTCCTTTCCTTTTACTTTTTTACAACATGATATCTTTACTTGTGTGGCATATACTATTTTCTAGTGCCTAGTCTTACAAGAATTTGTGTGTATCGAATAGAATGAAATAACGTAAGATGGGAATATATCAATAAGTACCAATGGTTTACTTAATTTTCAGTTCACTTAAACCTATCACTTAATATCTAATCCTAAAATTCAAACGACAAAACTTCGGTGCAAAAGCTTTATAAAATTTATATAGTTTTTGAAAAAGGTTCATGAAAATTATGTATTTATTACGGTAATATTTACAGGTAAAAAGGCCTGGAGCCTTGTCTTTCATATTGACTGAACGGCACTTTTATATGTTTGTTATGGTTATTTCTGTTAAGTAATGAATACTTTTCTATTAAACGAGTCGGTTCAACACCCAAGTTGTACTCCAGAGGAGTCGTTACTTAGTTTTAAATCCCATAGAACTGATTTTACATATACACCTTTATAGGATACGTAAAACATGGTTTAGTGACCTTAATTAATGAATAATCATATGAATTTCGCCTGTTTATTATCCCAAAACCTAATTTAAAACATAGAAAGTGTCTGGAAGCATGTGATGCATAAACTTTCTTGAAAACTTTGAATATCCTGTTTGCATTATGTACTTATGAATGCCATTACGTAACCCGTTCAGCATAGTAGATTTATTCGAGTTCGGGTCACAATTTTTATCTTCTGAAAAGTATTAATACTAGCCAGTTGTCAAATCTGAGGTAGGTGAATTGGAATTGGTTAAGATGAAAACTGAATAAGTACAGATCACAAAATGAGTTAATATAAAAGACAGTAAGCAACACGCACATGCCTTTGCAAGCCGGTGAACTCTTTAATCGAAACACATAGGTAAATGTAAAGAATTTTGTGCATTTTCGTTTCATATACTGGAGTCCAAATACGGTTTAGTGAATAAATCAAACATCCTCCAGATTGTAGGATATGTTCAAGCCAAAAATTCACATCGGTTTAGACGACTGTATCGTTATCTTATGGAATTGAGTACTAACAAGAATAATTAGCAGTAATTATACGAGATAAACAGACCAAGTAATTTTTTAATATCATACAAAACTGATTTGCATCACGATATCAAGCAAAACCTTCATTAAGACATTATAAGCTGGAATAGATGGTGGCCATCATTGGAATTCAAGGAGCGCGCTTCGTTTTGTTCTGGACTCATCAGCCGGAGTTAACTACGTTAGTTTAAATCTTAAACATCATTGGGAAGATTTAAACCAACAATACAACTCAATTAAACTACCAAAACAGCTAACAAATTTCAAAAAGGATGAATGAAAGTGTCACCATAATATTGCCAAAAACACCAATATACATTATGGATAATGACACTAAAAATTGATTTAAAAACTTGATCTCAAGAAAGATATAAGCTATTACGATATCTTGTCAATTAATTGAAGGGATGAGAAAACACTTTACAGTTTCTTTAACAGCTCGGACGCCTCCTTCTTTGCCTAAGTGTTTCAGTTAGGTAACAAAAAGCAACCGATTACCTCTTCAGTATCCAAGTCATCTTCCGTAAATTCCAACACTTTCTGACAATAATGCTTAGCCAGATCATAATTCTTTAACCTGTGGTACGTCTTTGCTATATAAAGAGAATTTTTTACGATAGTTCCAGGAGCCTCTACAAAAAACTTATTGCGTCTGAAGAACACAAATTACTTTTTTCTGAATCAAGGAGATAGTTAAGAGCCTATAGTGTCATTCGCATTAGCCATTAATTAAACTTACTTCTTCGTAGGTAGACGTAGGTGGTTCACCGAAAAAGGTAGCGGCAAACTTACGCTTTATCCATGGGAGATCTGTGACCTCGAAACACCTATGGAAATCTTATGAAATATGAAGTATCACTCACCATCTCCCAAGAGCGTGCAATGTAACAAAGTCATCAGGATTAGATTTTATGGCTTTCTGAGAGATAAGTTTGGTAAAACAGAATTACCATCCAATGGCTCTTCATCTTAAAAGAATTTTCTATCCGCTTATTTATTCCCTCAATTTCTGATGATAAGTTTAAAAATATTCCGTACCACTGTAGCGGTCCCATTATATTATTATTAAATTAGTCGGATATGAAACGTACGGAGTTGCACTTAGAATTTTCTGGATCTATTCGGAGCCCTTCGTCACAAGCTGAAAGACCTTCTTCGATGTACTTTTTATACACTTGTTTATCGTTTTTACCCAGTGAGTTAGCTGATATTGACTTAAAATATTTGGAAAGATTACCTAGATTTCTGCAGCTACGAGCCTTCCTCCAGTACAATTCGGGATCCTCGTTATCAATTATTGCATTGGATACTACAGAGTATGCTTCTTCATATTTCTTGGAATCCTCAAACTTCTCCCATTCTGCAATTACACCGTCCATAGCGCTAATTTGCTTATCGAGGCCAAAAACGTCTTACCTTGAAATCGATGTGTTTAAAGTATTTGTTGAGCAGATGCAGTGAACAGTATACTAAATATCTTACCTCTCCTAAGTCTTAAGATTTTTCGCTGAAATATTAAGCCACAAAGATAGCGATTGTCTGACAGTTTATAAAATAGCATAAATTAGAGTTGCTCAAGATATCAAGATACACTCACCCACTTGAACATAGTTATCCGTTTGTTTAATACATACCATATAAACGCTAAGTAGATCTGTAATAAAAAGACATATATGGTCCTGTCCGCATCCCTTTATCAAACGTCACTTATAATAATAACCGAAGCATGAACTACCAGAAAAATTTCGGATCTCTATATGTTTCTTGACAATTTTTTCCTTTGACGAAGTGATAGGTCAAAAGGATGGGACAGATACCACCTCACATGTTCTCACTTCTGTATAAACTCACTTTTTCATGGTATGCAAGAACTAAACAAACTGCAGGGTCCTGTGTGAATTGTTCTGAAGTCCTCAAATTCAGTTTCAGATCTGTGTTTGCCATCAATATTTCGCATCAAAAAGTCAAAAAGCAATAATGTCAGAATTATTCACAGTAGCCTTACTCCCACCATTTACAAGCAAGCTTAACTGTAGGGACTTCCACATGCCTGAAGTGTCTTGTTTTCCAGTGAAGGCGCCAACCCAAACAACCAAAAAAGGGAAATAAAGGGGTAAATGCTTTGGAGGCGAAAGGGGAAATAAAGGGTGAAACGCGCCAGAATGTCGCCCTTTTTGCCTGTCCGGGGGAATGCGGAATTCTCCCTTTTTGCCACTTTGTCGATAAATAACCGACTTTCCGCCTAAAAATCCGCTGAATTGTCGAATTTTCGCCTAAATATCCGCTGAATTGCCTATTTTTCGCCTAAATATCCGCTGGATTGCCCACTTTTCGCCTACGTATACGCTTAATTTTCTACTTTTCGCCTAAAGACATACAGAACTGCCTATTTCTGATCCATTGGCATAACCCTAAAGGTCTCCTATGTTCGCCTTTATTCCAAAAAACTACACTAACGCTTCAAGCCACGGGAAAAAGGGTACATTTTCAAATAATTTTATTTTAAAGGAAAGGTGTATTATTGTACAACATTATAGCAGAAGCTTGAGCACCAATCGTTTTGTATATCTAGTGTAATTGCTAATTCATTGTTATTTGAAAAGATCTACAAAAGATGAAACAGGGGATGTATTATTGATAAGTCATGTGCATCTAATATAAAGTTCACCGACACTCAAACACACATTCTCAACACTTCTATAGTTTCCCATGTAAGTAATAAAGTAAGCTCTTTGACAAAATAATGTTTATTAAAATGTAGGTAGAACATCAAATAATTGCACGGATTATTCCCTTCAGCCACGTTCGTTCGCCTATTGAGAATTGAAATAATCGTCCTGTGAATTCAGAAGTTTGAAAAACAGGAAAAGTCACAACAATATCTGAATGACATGTCTTGGCACAGCCAAATACTTTAAGCTAAACTTACGGTTATGTCCGTTAACTATAGAGCCGTAAGGAAAGTTATCACTTTAAATTAGTACATACCTGCCCTTCTTTCCTTCTTTTAGGCCTTATCACTTTGTCTCTGACATCGCGGAAATAACCTTGTGTCGCCATATTGTACAGCTTCGCAAATTCTTTCTCGTTGACAGAGGATGATATAAAGGGATTTTTAAATACTAAATATGGGTTACTTCGTTTGCAGCCGTAAAACCGACATTTTTGAAGTGGTCGTTTCGAAGAAGTTCCAAGTAACGTGAAGCTACTGGCAGCCTCAGGTGTCAAGAAGTACGTAAGAACATACCGCATCAAGGCTTTCGGATCATCACCCGATAGCCTGGTAACCATTGCCATCTGTAATCGGGACAAATTATTAAATTAATATTGATGACTTACAAATCTGTCCCTAGTTTCTTTCTGCTACAAACCAGTTTCCAGCACCTGCAGTTCCTCTTCAGATGACAAAGGGAACTGCTGACTTGAGAGTCCGCAATCGAATTGATGCGGTTTTCCGCGCTCATTAGACTTTGGTAGCAATTACTTTACATTAATACTCAAATCCGTTATGGCTGAGGACATTTTATGCATCATTGTGTACAACCTATCAAAGCTGAAAAAGTTCACTTGATGAGGCAGGTGACTTACTGGGCCGCTATAGCACCACCGACTTGCTTAGATTATGACGTTGAAGGTGATGTCTCTAATTGTGTCGAACTAGTTTGTAAATAGTAATGAAACGTACTTGGCAATTGGCGAGACGACATTTTCAAACGAACGAAATTTCGGATATTGGACGTGGCTATTGCCAGCCTGCATTTCAGCAACATCCATGTCTACTGAATTGTAAAGAAAGTCTTCTTTACGCTTCAATGCAGCTCTAGGAAATAATGGTAAGACTATTGTACTGACCTCTTAGGCTTCTCAGTGTTCTGCGGCAAGGTGTTTTCATCCACTGAAGTTTTTTTATGGCGAGATTCCAGTAATTGTAAATAAACTAATAAATCTTTTGCTGACTGCAAAGAATCTATAGTGATTTATTTTTCTATGTTTGTTACTTACCTAGTTCGTGAATGACATTACGTTTCATAACTGACCAGTTGTTATCTGGTCGATCGTAGTTTTGCAGGTGTGTTTCGATCAGCTTCTTTGGAAAAAGGCAAAGTCCTTTGCCGACAATCCACTCCTTGCATGTTATCATAAGTTCTTTCTTGATTGATACGTCAGCAATGACGTATTGCTTGTTAACGGGCTAAATATAACATAAGACGTAATTAAATGGCTTATCATCATTAATTAAGCACTAATGAAACAAAATGCATTTACAATAAAGTATGCAACAATGGGATTATAGCTATATTATTGATGCAATTGATGGCTATACATTTACGATGGAGCACATAAAGATTCCTATTTCACTAGATGGGAAAGGATCTTCAAAATAATTGCGTGGGTCAGTGAAAGACCTAAATTTTAGTAGTTTATCCTCCTTTATATCAGTGACTAAACCTGGCTGGCCGTTTACTACTACATTATCAGGCTTAAATGAAGTTATTTTACTATTCTTAAGCATAATTACTTGTTTATTGGCGACATCATTTGCCCCATTTGTAAAGGTCGTCTTCCCCTCCAGCCGTCTCCAAAGTACAGTACACCTATCGCAACCTGCCTTACCGTTATGATTAACCGTGTACCTAACAGAAGAACGAGCAGGTGCGTTACATATAACAGCCGCCAACCTAATGGCTATGTATTTATTAAACTTAACACTAAAAAAACTCACGTCAGTCATTTCTTTTATTTCAGAAGTTGTGTCCGCAGAAAATTCATTGAATTCTGCCGGTTTACTATTCCCTCCGTAGATCCCTATCATGAACACGTCACTAAACCTAGGGGCAATGATCCGTCCTAGTATAGGCCATAACTGTTGATTGGAGCTTCTAGACATAGAAAGTCCATCTACATTGATATATAGATTTAAAGAGTCAAAATCAATAGTACACAACCAAAGCTCAACGTATCTTAGCAGATTGGTTTTCAATCCTAGATGGTAGTAAACCCCACTGCCGATGAACTTTGGTTGAACACTTGCACACGTCTTTAGGACACTTCGGATGCTTTTTGGTATGTCTGGTATGAGAAGTCGTAAACCATACAGAACACGATCAGCATCTCTTATGCTCAGAGATGTCTCAAACAGTTACATGGGAATCGGAAAATTTAAAAGAGAACCGAGGTTGACTGACTTGCAGGATATATTTTTGAATTATAGAATGATGTATCAAAGTGTGTAATTGTTAACTGTCTAGTTATCTAAGCAGATGTGTTCCAGGGCCAGTTGAGTCACCATCTGATGTCAATGTTTAGCTGAGAAACCTCATCTAGTGACATTTTCAGTAAAGCCGAAATGGTCAACAGCAGCTGCTGTTAAATGTTTATACGCAATTGATCTTTGTGGATGGCTTGTATTCGTATTGGGATTACCAATTGTAGCGTGGCGTCGAGTTGAGGTTAACTATGAACACCGCTACCAAGAAACACGTGCCAAAATAGATCGGAAGGCGTAAGAAGCTCGTTCCAAATGACTCCATAAAATCCCCGAGAAGCCGAATACCAGAAGGCAATTAATGGACCAAGTCGATGTTTATTTGCTGGCGATCTCGTGGTATCGAAAGGATACCGAGATCGTGCCAGGATACAAGCTTGGTTACAGAACGTAACCGAATTCGCGCGAAGTTACAATCAAAGTGTGAGTATAAGAATGGAAGCACAAAATAGCTGCCATTAGCACAGTCAAACAAAAGCACGTTAAAACAAACACTGGTACAGTTGGTTATAATAATAATTGTTTTTATTAAACCAGTCGTGTCCTCGTGATAAACGTGAGTCACTACAGGAGCCCCCCGCTAGAAAGGGTTCACACTTTCGATAAATAGCGGTTTGAATCGTGGGACTGATCGGCTGACGAGCGATTGTAGGACGGAAGAATTGGCGAACAGGAAAGCGATCGTTGATCGTCGAGTTGCCAACGAAGGTCGTTTTCGGAGAACAGTACCAGGAGTGATGTGTTGTATTTATTGCTCGAGTTGGCATGCTACACCAGAGTGGTTTGTATCCAGAATCTGAAGAGGGCGTTCGTAGAGGTGCGCACCAGAAACGCTGCAGACGTAGGACGAAACCACGTTGAGCCAAAAGACCAGAAGCGACCTTAACGACCAAGTTCGAGACCAAGCATGTGCCAAGCATTCGAAACCAATATATCGACTGAGTGCGTTGACAAGAGCATGGGTGATCAGGCCAGCTTTCGCCAAAGTTGACTGAAGTCGACGGAACCAAGCGGAGATGGTCGAAGGCGTGGGCTCAGGAAACAAAAAGAAAATAAAAAAAGAGGAGTGTAGCATACGTGTAGTATAGGAATAATCCTACACCGTATCGGTTGTTGACTGTGCGACTATTCGCGGAAGCGTACGGGTAACCGTACTCGGCGACCGGAACGTGAGACGGCAGTCTCGTTCGCGTCGCGTGAGCCTGCAATCTCATCCGAGGTCAGAGGCGGCGTGGTCTGCTGATCTGGACGTGAGACTGTCGTCTCGTCCATAGACGGCGCAGATGA